TCTGCAGTGATGTCCAGTCCTTGCTGAACATAAAGGGCGTGAAATTCTCTCCTAGCCGCCGTGAGCGCGGCCAAAACGGGACCAACCCCGTAAACACACTGACCAACCATTTTAGGCACAGAAGTCTCCGTGGCTTCTTTCGATCTAGGTTTGCTCCAGGTTTCCCGCTTATTCCAGCGGCGAAGATCTGGTTTCTCGGATCGAGAGCTTGAATCGGAGAAATCTCTGTGCATGTTCTTGATTCGATTCCATCTAGGAGAATCAGCAGATTTGGAAACTAGCTCCTGCTTCCCCTGAGTCTCTTCCTCTCGCACCTCCGCAGAAACTCCATTCTCAGACTCTGGATCTCCCAAACTTCTTCTTCTTCTATACCCATCCTCCCTCTCATCTCTCAACTTTACTCCATTTCTTGAAAAATAGGCCTCCGCAGATTCCTCCCATGAAGAGAAATTGGACCTAAAACCCATCCGTTTTCCTACTGGTGTCTTTTGTCCTCTACCTCTGCGGGAAACTAGCCCGGGAAGAACCCTAGTATCGATTGCTCGGCCGGCGGGATCAATCGCGGTGCTCCGCTCAGCTGCACAGGAAACACTCGCAGCTTGCGATAGGGAAACTGAAAAGCTCACTGGCCTTCTCGAAACCCTAGAAATTAGCGGAAGAGAGAGATTTCTAGCTAGGTTGCAGCAGTGGGGGGGAAGCATGGCGCTCCTCACCGTCAATACTGAAGTGGACGGCGGCGAGGAGACTGAGAGAGAGACGAGGGTCGGTAAATCTCTCTTAGAAGAAAAAAAAATGATTTTTACCTGCCCACCACTTGCAAGTATAAAGATCTAAACTTTAAATATTTCAAAACAGCCATCTCAAATTAAGAACTCCTTTTAGCTACCGAACGACTCTCCCATTCGCTTCCGTTCCAGACGCCGCCGTCTCCATCTCCTTCCCTCGCCTAACCTCGTCTCCCTCTTTCTCCTGTGCAACCGGTCGGCTCCTACTCCAACCTGCCTCACTTACTGCTACTGTGCGAAGTAGGAGCTCTAGATTGATACTGTAAATATGTGAGGGTCAACAAAATGAAAATCCCGATCTATCATCTTCCTCGCAAGCAGACGAGTGAATGCATAACAAGCTTAAGTCGGTTTAGGCTAAGGACCCGTTTGGGCCTCTTTTATCGCGCCGCGCAGCCTCAAATCGTAGGTAAAAAAAAAAGTTGTTTGGATGCTAAATTCGCAGCCGCACATCTTAAAAACTGGGGAAAGCGAACCGCAGAATCAACCTCGCGGCCTTACCTTCGCCCCACAAATATTACATTTTGCCCCACGAATATTATCTTTTGCCCTAGTATCCGCCCGCTTCTACGAGCCTTCTCTCGCGAAGCCCCCTACGCCTTCTTCTTCCTCAACCAAGAACGACCCAAACCACATAATTGCAAACCCTCTTCTTCGCTGGCTTCAAGCAAATCTGAGCTTCCTTTATTGAAGTGAAAAATTGGAGCTTTTGGCAAACCCTCTTCGTTCCATCGTACCATGTAGAGGGTTCTTCCTTTTCTCTTTCTCGTTTCTCCCATCTCCCTCTTTTGATATTTCGTGGATCTCGAGTTCTTGCTAACTGTTTTTAGCTAGCAGTCATTGGAGATTTGGTAAATCCTGAGGTGATTACAATCAAAATTCTTTTACTGCCTAAATAATTACTGTTAATTTCTGCTGCACATTTGAGACTTTGTTTTACTATTTGTTCTAGGATTTAAGATTTTTTATAAGGACAAATTGTTAAATCCTTTGAATTATAGATTCTTTAGCTTGATTCGTGAGCTATTCTTGCTCCTCTTCATAGAAGGTAGTTTGATTCTTCTATACTCAATTGCCAAGCAAGCTTTTTATATGAATGTTTTCAAGATTTGGCTTGGTTTAAATCTAGGATATTGTTTTTGTTAATCTTCTTGAAATCAACTTCGACAGTTTTACATTGTTAGCTTTGATCAAACAAGCTGCATTGGCTTTCGCCTTGATCAAGTTGATTGATGGAAGATTTACATATATACCACCAACGTTATTTTAAAAATTAGTTCAGGAATTTTTATTGAGGTGGAAGAATGGAGGAAAGTTGCAACAATAGCTATGGTAGATTTTCCTTAATTGTTTTTTGTTATGCTACAATACATTTGTTTGATTATCATTGGTTGAAAACATCAAACATGTGTTGGTTTCCTAATTGCAGTGCTTTGTTAAAATGACAGAACATGCAGGGCATGCGTAGAGAAATTAAAAATGTCAATTCATTTTAGTTCTATGATTCATTCCTTGGATGAAGTGAGAGATTAGAAGAATATAGGGGAGGTTATCTCTATTTAGTAAAGCATGTGGTTGGGACATTCACATATACACCTCACAATTCTGATATATTTTTATATCTAAAACTTAAAACTTTCATTTTATTTACTTTCCGTTTATCTTGTTAGGAACTTCTTAAAAACTGTTTCTCAAATTAGTTGATTTACATGATGTCCTCTATAATTTTCTAAATTGTGTTATTGTTTTGTTTCACTGTTTTGTTTTAACGTAGTAATGAAATGTCAAATAAGATTAAAGAGTTTGGTACACCGTCACTGTGAGAGAAAGAAACAAAAATAATATTTTGTGACTTTTGCCTGAAGGGAATTGAAATGGGCAATAGACCTACGAACCTTTTCAATAAGAAAGGGTCACAAAATATTATAATTATAAAAAAAATTCAATGAATGTACGGGCAAGGAGTAGGGCAGGTTGCAAATGAAAGTTATATATGACTACCGGACATTAATAATTCAAGGGATCAATTTGGGATTGCATTGGCGCAATAGATGGAATGCACGTTAATTTATCGGACGTTGTGGAGCCCTTACGCAAAATGTCATGGCAGCGTGCAACTTTAACATGTGTTTTACTTTCGTCATGCCCGGTTGGAAGGATAGTGCGCACAACAGCTGAATTTTCAAGTGCTACGCAGAATCCTCATTCGACTTCCCTCACCCTCCGCGCGGTATGTTACAGTCTCAAATCCTTTGTTTATTTTTTTTAATGTAGTACTGAAGCTACAATACATTTTAGGTAAATATTATTTGGTGGATATCGCTATTCATTGCAGCAAGGGTATCTGAAACCCTTTCATGGCACCAAGTATCATATACCTGATTTCGAGCGAACCAACAATGTTATGCGAGACAGAAAGGTGTTTAACAAAAGACATTCCTTCTTATGAGACGTCATCGAGAGGACTTTTGGCGTTTGGAAGAAGAAATTGGTGATATTACGTGATATGTCACCTTACCCGTTTCCCAAGTAGATCCAAATTGTGATTGACACGATGACGCTGCACAACTATATTAGGTGGCTTCCATCTCGAATTGACGTTGACTTCTGTAGTTGATTTACATTTTATTTACTTTCCATTTATCTTGTTAGGAACTCCTTAAAAACTGTTTCTCAAATTAGTTGATTTACATGATGCCGTCTCCAATTTTCTAAATTGTGTTATTGTTGTGTTTCACTGCTTTGCTTTATCGTAGTAATAAAATGACTAATAAGACTAAAGAGTTTGGTACATCGACATTGTGGGAAAAAGAAACGAAAATAATATTTTGTGACATTTGCCTGAAAGGAATTAAAATGGGCAATAGTCCTACGAGCTTTTTCAATAAGGAATGATGGTGAAATATTATAAAAAAAAAATTCAAGTAATGTACGGGCAAGGAGTAGGGCATGTTGCAAATGAAAAACAAGTGGGATCAACTTAAGAATGATTGAAAATTTTGTAAGGATTTGAAACGAGGATCAACAGGTTTGGGTTCAGATCCGGTGAAGCGAACCATTGATGCATCGGAGTGGTGGACAGAAAGACTTGCGGTGAGTAATTTTTCATTTCATCTAATTTGATTCATTTTATTTTTGTGCAACCTAACTAAGGTGTTTAATATGATTTTGCAGGTAGTGCCCGCAGTGAAGAAGTTCAAACTTTGTGGACTTGAACTCGAGTTTGAGGAGAAGTTGGACCAGATGTTTGGGGGTGTCGTTGCAACAGGAAAATCATGTGCTCCAAGTGAGACAGAGTTTGGTAGTACCCCTAACAACATGGTTGTCAGCTTATCTGTTAATTCACCCGAATTCCGCAGCCAGGAACTCCCCGAAATCCAGTTCACCAACTGGTCTAAGCGTCCTCGTGTGGAGAGTAGGAAAAAGGGTGGAGCTGCTTCTATCAGAAACCATATATTATACGTGGTAGATTCTTCCAACGACGCCCCGCATAAAGTTCAGTCAACTTCAATTAAGCAGGTAATGCAAATTTTGGAAGAAGATCGGGATACTGCAGAGATTTTGATCCATACTTTTTTGATGTGGAGCTGCTTCAAGATTCGGTCCACAGAGATTTTTTTGCAACTATTTTCAAAGAAAGACGAGTGGCATATCTATGTCTTTTTTATGCTCGCAAGAAAAATTGATGGATAATTTTTTATTTGCTATTTGCTGAGAGACTTTTTTATTTCATCATTTGTTGATTGGGACATTTTACTTCGTTATTGTATTTTCTCATATCATACTTGTTTTATATTTGAACATCCTCATTCTTATCTATTATTAATGTTTGGGTCGTGATTTCTTATTCATTTATTAATTTTTGTGTTTTTCAGTAACACTTGTACAAAATGCATCAGCATGAATTTAGAACAAGAAAGACAAAGAAGGAGAAATGCAGCAATCTACTTGATCTTTGAGGATTACAACATGTAAATTGGCTGCTCTCCATGCTACACATCATCTTATATCGGAGACAAATGGGTTGGAGAATTGCTTGTTGGGCATCCCACCAGATTCAACATGTTCCGCATGAGACAGGAGGTATTTACAGATCTCCTGGCAGAACTCACTAGATTTCATGGTCTTCATGGTCATCGAGGATGACTGAACGTGAGGTGTTGGTGATGACTCTCTACATATTATCACAAAAAGAGACAGTGTGTGGTGCGATGGAACTATTCCAACACTCATCGGAGGCGATCAACATATACATCTCTGTGGGTTTGAGTGCTCTTGTGAGCATATCCGCACAAGTTATAAAACCAACAGATCCAACGTTCGCACGAACTCCTACAAAGATTCAACGCGATGTACGTTACATGTCATTCTTTAAGGTGGGGATTGTAATTTCTAGTATTGAAATTTAGATATTACTATCAGACATTAATAACTCAATGGATCTGTTCAGGATTGCATTGGCGTAATAGATGAAATGCGTGTTGAAATAAAAATTGCAAATGATGAGAAGATTACATTTATCAGACGTTGTAGAGCCCCTATGCAAAATGTCATGGCAGTGTGCGACTTTAACATGAGTTTTACTTTCGCCGTGCCTGGTTGGAAGGATAGTGCGCACAACAGCTGAATTTTCACGAGTGTTAATCCTCATTATAACTTCTCACACCCTTCGCACGGTATGTTGCAGTCTGAAATCCTTTGTTTATTTTTTTTAAAATGTTGTACTGAAGCTACAATATATTCTAAGCAAGTATTATTTGGTGAATGTCGGCTATTCATTGTAGTGATAGTATCTAAAATCTTTTTATGATATCAAATATCATATACCTGATTTCGAGTGAGCCAGTAATATTACGTGAGGCAGAAATGAGGTGTTTAACAAAAGACATTTCTCATTGTGAGGCGTCATCGAGATGACTTTTGGCTTTTGGAAGAAAAAATGGGTGATATTATGCAATATGTCACTTCAATCGTTTCCCAAACAGGTCCAGATTGTGATGGTCACGATGATGCTACACAATTATATTATGTGGCATCCGTCTCGAATTGACGTTGACTTCCGTAGTGCCGAAGAGGATAAACAGGAAGTACCTGCAGAAGCGATTGAATACCACATCGGACATTCTCTGCCACGAGATGACAATGACCATTCTACTATTTGTAGGAAGAAAGGGGAATGTGCAAATGAAATAACGGCCACTAGTATATAACATTGTGACTTCTTCCAGTGGGCAAACAATTCGGCGGATTCCCCTGACGACGGTGATTGGAAATGGAGAACATTCATCGAGAAAAGTCTAGCACAAGAGCTACATCGTTTAAATGTTAAAATAATTTATTCATCTTATTAACTATCGTTTTAATAGTATTAGATTTTTTTTGCACTCTTGATACTCACTGTGAAGTGAGGAGTCTATCTGTAATTCTGTATTATTTTTAAGTATTTCAATCACAGCCACTACTGTAAAACAAACCATGCACTACATATGGTACTCTATGTGATGAAAATGCAGGCAACTTAATGGCTTACCTTTTATCTTTCCCTGTTTCTCTTTGTAATAGTTATTAGCATACAGGGTTTAGTTTTCATCATATGCCGACAGTATAAAGTTTTCTTTCGTGTTTGAGAAGTGTAGCATTTCGTTGCTTAGTTTGTGTTTGCGAAGTATTTATGCAGATTTTTGTTGGAGATATGGGTTCTTAATTGTGAATTTAACCGATATTTTACTCTCAAGCTTTCCTGTGCTCATCTTGGAGTGGTAAGCACTGAGGATGGCCCAAAAACTCTCAGGCAACCAATGCTTACACTTTTCTGATGAATTCCGACAATGATTTGCTCTTTTTCTTGAAGCTAATGATTTCAGAGGATCTGAATCTCCATTTTTACATAAAAAAAAGAAAAACTAACACAGGATTTTTTTGCTGAAACCATTCTGGATCCATTTCTGAAACATGTATAAATATCAAACGTTAAGCACTGTGTGATTTGTATGTAAATTTCACTATTTTTATGTGTATGCCTATCAATTTAATATAAGTTGCTTCATCGATCTTGTTTGATATTTAATATAAATATCCATGGATGTATGTATGTATGTGTATGGCTTCACGAAAAATACACTCTTCACATACAATGGCGTTGTGTAAACACCAAGGAATTGTGTGGTTTGATGTAACCTCCATTCATATAGCTTTGGGTTAGTTTAAATTTTTAGTGGGGTAGTGGAAGGTACGATGGACTTATAAGCTGAAAATTCCTCTTTCACTTGAGTTTGAGTCACTTCTTTATTATTATTTATGATGTTTGGAATAATATAAATGAAAATTTCTGCTTCTGAAGTATTAAATTTGTGACTGTCACATTTTTTTTGTTTTAAACAGTTTTACTAAACAAAGATAGAATGATCATTTTTCAAGAAACAGCTGTTTCCTAGTAGTTTTCACACAACTATAATAAACAGGCAGCCCCTTGCAACAGTTTTTTGGGACAGATAGCTGCAGTTGAAAAGTTGAGAAACTGCAACTACCCCAAACATA